ATTTATATTTAGTCTAATTATAATACATTCTACTACGTTCATTTGATTTAATTGCTCATTGGCGATTGATGCAGTCTTTAGTATATTATTATGCTATATAAAAATAAACTCATTTCAATCTTAATATATGGCAACCCTGTGGATTGGGGTTGTTTTATTCGAATTTGCCAATATGGTGTATTATTGATAAGCAACTTACATAAACTAAACATGATTTAATTTCCAGGATTTTACACCCCTATATGGTCGGGGTTGACTTTTAGCAGGATCTTGCACCCCTATATGGTCGGGGTTACTTGGAATACAGCAGGTTTTTTGCACCCCTATATGGTCGGGGTTTATTCATGCAATATCCTGCACCCCTATATGGTCGGGGTTGTATTCAAGCAGGATCCTGTACCCCTATATGGTCGGGGTTTATTAAGCAATATCCTGCTCCCCTATATGGTCGGGGTTTGATCTTAGCAGGATTTTGCATCTATATATGATTGATATGATTGAAGTTACTTAAGCAATATCCTGTACCCCTATATGCTCGGGGTATTATTTAAGCAGGATTTTGCACCCCTATATGGTCGGGGTTGAATTTACATATTTTACACCCCTATGGTGGGGGTTTATGGTTGGTAAGTTGCTGCACCCCTATATGGTTGGGGTTATTTGTTTTGTTAGAATTTTCACCAAATATGGTTGAGGTCTACTTTCTGAATGTATTGCACAAAATGAATAAGATACATACATTCTTATATTGTTGAGGTTTCTAAAGATTCCTTATTAAGTTTATCCAATTATTTAAATTTTTAAGAGTGTATTTTTAACTGAAGAATCAAAGTTTAAATTGTTGCTTTCAATGGTCAGGTTATGAGCTCTGAAATATTTTTATTGATTAGGTTCATATCTTCTTAAGAAATATTGTAGATGAATGAACCAGCTGGAGCGAGGCGACCAGCCAGGGCCAGAAGGCTAAGACGACAAGTACCAGCCGCGGCAGGTACAGCCGATCAGGCAGCTCAGCAGGACGCTTTAGAAGCTGAACAGGCGGCTCAGCAGGACGCTTCTGATACCTTACAGCCTCAGCTAGTAGCTGCTGTAACGGAGCAAGTCCTAAAGGCAATCCGCGAACAGTCGGCTGGTGGTCAATCTGGGGAGGAAAGAGGACGTGAACGCCAAAGAAGCTCGAGAGGAAGGAAACGTAGAAGACGGTCCTCTTCAGGTAGCATGTTAGACTCTAGTTCGGATCGAGATAAGTCAGATAATGACTCAGAGGACAGCTCATCCAGTGAGGAGAGTGATTCAGATGATGAGCAGCAGCTCTTATCAACTCCAATTTCTTCTCAAGTCGATAGTAAACTCAAAAACAAAATATGGCAAAACAAGTACATTGACTTTGCAAAATTAATACCAAAAGATGATTTTAGTAGGGATAAGTCAGTACACTTGCAAAGCATGGGTAAATCAGAATTTAAGTTTGTGACCTCAAAATCAAAAACAGCCATTAAATCTATTGATCAGTGGACCACAGCATTTTTAAAATTTTTGGCCATTTACTCTGAGAAATTCCCCAACTTGGTACCAGCGGTCATCAAACATGGTGAAATAGTGCGCGAGCTAGCTAGCAGACGCACAGGTTTGGCATGGTTATCATATGATAGGCAAGTCCGCAAGGACATAGAATCAATGTCAATTCCATGGGGGCAACTGCACTATGAGTACTGGGTTATGGCCACCACATCGCGACAATCTAATTATGGCAATCAGACACATAATTTTCGTGGCCGATACCAATTCCAAAACAAAGGGGGGGCCTATAAAGGCAAGAGAATACCCCAGGGATATTGTTATGCTTTCCACAAAACAGGACATTGCACATCCCAGAACTGTCAATACAAGCACCTTTGCCCTCAGTGCAGGAAGCCACACTCAGTGCTTTTCTGCACATGGGGTGATCAATCGCAAACCTCTGTCCCAGGGTCCCAAACCAGACAAAAAGAACCCACTAGTACAAGCAAATAGATTAATTGTCACTCCCGTAAGAGTATTAACCCTAGAACACTTTCTTAATGGGTATGATGAAGATTTAAAAACATTTTTATGTAAGGGTTTTGGGGAAGGTTTTCATCTTCAATATAATGGGCCGAGACAGTCAAGGCGTTCATCTAATTTACTTTCGGTAAAAGAACATGAAGATATTGTAGCACTAAAACTGCAGAAAGAAATTTCTCTTGGTAGGATTGAAGGTCCATTTGAGGTACCCCCATTTGAAAATCTTCAATGTTCCCCTATTGGTCTTGTCCCAAGGAAAGAAATAAATGAATTTCGCCTTATTCACCACTTATCTTATCCTGAAGGGGGTTCTGTGAATGATTTTATCCCGGATGATCTATGCTCAGTATCTTATACAACAATTGATGATGCAATTAAACTTATCAAAAAAATTGGAAAAAATTGTTTGCTAGCGAAAACAGACATCGCATCAGCATTTCGAATTTTACCGGTTCATCCAAACGATCATGAGCTATTAGGAATTCAGTTTCAGGGTTCTTTATATTATGACAAGTGCCTTCCCATGGGATGTTCTATATCGTGCTCTATTTTTGAGACATTTAGCACAGCATTACAATGGATTGCTTGCAGCAAATTTGGGGTTCCCAATATGTTGCACATATTGGATGATTTTCTTTTTATAGGTCCTCCTAATTCTGCCATTTGTCATTCATCATTAAAACAATTCTTATCTATGTGTGATGCTTGGAATCCCAATCAAGTCCGAAAAAACAGAGGGACCTTCAACAACTATGGTATTCTAAGGGATAGAATTAGATACTATAAAAATGGAGGCTAGACTTCCACAAGAAAAAATACAAAAAATTAAACTTGCACTTGATTCAGCCAAAAAATGCAAAAAGATCACACTGCGGAATCTTCAATCTTTAATTGGTTTATTAAATTTTGCATGTTGTGTAGTCGTGCCAGGGAGAGCTTTCCTGCGACGTCTTATAAATCTAACAAAAGGAGTAAGTAAACCCCACTTCAGAATTCGTCTCAATAAGCAGTCTAGGCTAGATTTAGAAGCATGGAGTGAATTCATAAACAATTTTAATGGAAAATCTATATTCATAGATGAGGTATGGCAAAACTCAGATAAACTTAACATGTACACTGATGCAGCTGGAAGTTTAGGATATGGGGCAGTTTTAGGCAAGAAATGGTTTTATGGGGGCTGGGAAGAGATACATTTGCAGGAATATGATATTACATTTAAGGAATTATTTCCTATTGTCGTAGCGGTTGAAACCTGGGGGGAGAGTTTAGCCAACAGCTCTATCCTTTTTTATTCAGATAACATGGCAGTTGTTAATATTATTAACAAAATATCATCAAATGATATTCCAGTCATGCATTTAGTAAGACGTTTGGTTTTAGCTTGCTTACGCTTTAACATTCTTTTCAAAGCAGAACATATACCTGGGAAACTGAATATCTTACCAGATTTACTTTGGCGTTTACAGGTCGAAAAACTCAGGGCTTTGGCACCACATATGGATCAATACCCAGAAAGCATACCAGTCAAGTACCTTCAAGTTTAGAAGAAACTGCATCTGAATTATTGCAAGCAGCAGTTTCTCAAAATACTCATTCATCTTACAAGACCGCACTTGCTGTATATGACAAATTCCATAGGCAAACGTTCTCAACAAGTGCTAAATTCCCATCCCAAGTTACAGATGTAGTATATTTTATAGCATGGTTACACCGCAAGGGCAGATCTTATAACACAATCAATACATATTTAGCTGGGATCTCTTACTATCATAGAATTCAAGAGCTAGCAGATCCAACACAATTTTTTGTTGTGAAAAAACTCCTTAAGGGTGCTCAACACTTGTCAAGTACACCTGATATTCGATTACCGATAACACCAAAAATCTTATTTCAGTTAATTCAAGCATTAAAGTTTACGGTTTGTGGAAAGTATAACAAGCGTCTTCTGGCTGCAATGTTTACACTTAGCTTTTTTGCTTTTTTGCGAGTGGGAGAAATAACAGCAAAGTCAACTAGTGCTAATTGTAACGGGAACCGTTACAGATGTTCCCCAAACACTCCCAGCTCCTTTTTCGTGCCATATTCCCTTTAACAACGTTTTCCCAGAAGTATACCAAGTATATTCAACTTTTAGTATTGCACGCGTGCGCATGTGAATACATATGCTTAATGACGATATTATCTTGTCTGCACTATTTAGAAATCTTGAAATACTTTATATTGAAGCATTTAATCCAAAAGCATTAAAAATACGCTCATTCAAGTGTATTCTTAATTTTACCAATTTCACGTGCACGCACGTGCATGCATGTGCATGATGACCATACTTTCTTGCAGGAGTCTATTATGTCTGTCAAAGGTCCAAATTCCATCCTGTTTGGTTGAAAAACAGGGGAGTTACAGCCATTTAAAGTTTAATCCAATCAGATTGCAGCGCATGTGCATGCGCATGTATTTATGAAAATTGTTATATATCATATTGTAAGATATCTTAATGCATGCGTATGTTTTAAATTTCATATCATTTCGTCAAAAAAAGAAAAAGATATTGAGAATTTTGTTTCAGCCAATCAGATCAAAGCGCACGTGCACGCACGTGCATGCATGTGCATATTGACCATACTTTCTTGTAGTAGACAATTATGTCCGTCTATGTTCTAAACCCCATCTTGTTTGGTTAAAAAACAAGGAAGTTATAGCCATTTAAAGTTTAAGCCAATCAGATTGCAGCGCACGTGCATGCGCGTGTTTTCATGAATATTTCTATATGTCATATTGTAGGACATCCTAAAGTATGACTATATTTTAAATTTCATAGCACTTCGTCAAAAAACGGAAAAGATATTCAGATTTTTGTTTTAGCCAATCAGAGCGAAGCGCACGTGCATGCGCGTGCGTTGTTGTTTTTTTTGACAGTGTCACATAATGAACACTATTAATGTATGCTTATATAATGAGTTTCAGAGCATTTCATTGAAAAATGTAAAAGTTATAGCTATATTAAGTATATCAGTCATTTCACTCATATCACGCGCACGCACGTGCAGGCGTATGCGCGCAAAATGACCTTCGTTCGGCACATCTACACTACACACCTATTAACCCTAAAAAGGTTTTAGCTCACTTGGGTGAACAGTTTCTGAGAACACTCGCGGACAAAAAAGTACCGGAGAAGAAATAAGAAGAAAAAAGAATAATAATAATAATAATAATAATAATAAGAAACAGAGTAAAAACAATATGTTCCCCAACTTCGTTTGGGGAACATAATAACTAGTGCTAACTTTCTTAATGGGTATGATGAAGATTTAAAAACATTTTTATGTAAGGTGAACGGGGACCGTTACAGATGTTCCCCAAACGCTCCCCAACTCCCTTTTGGTGCCATATTCCCTGTAATCTCTATTAGATAAGAAATACTTTATGGAATTTAGACTTAATCAAGGTCTTCCCAGAAAATACAAAATATATTTAAAAATAGGCATTGCACGCGTGTTCATGTGCGTAACGACCATATTATCTTGTCTACACTATCTCAAATTTTAATATACTTAGTATCAAAGCATTTAATCCAAAAGTATTAAAAATACACTCAATCGAGTGTATTTTTAATTTTACTCATTTCACGTGCACGCACGCGCAAGCACGTGCATAATGACTACACCTTCTTGTAGGGGTCCCTTATATTTATCTATGTTCTAAATCCAATCCTGTTTGGTTGAAAAACAAGGGAGTTATAGGCATTTGAAGTTTCAGCCAATCAGATTACAGCACACATGCATGCGCGTGATTTCATAAATTTTTATCTTTATCGTATTGAAGGATATTTAAATGAATGACTATATTATAAAATTCGAAACATTTCGTCAAAAAACAAAGGAGATATAGCCATATAAAGTTTCAGCCAATCAGATTGCAGCACACGTGCATGCGCGTGATTTCATGATTTTTTTTCTATATCATATTTTAGGATATCCTAATGCATGACTATGTTTTAAATTTCAAAGCATTTCGTCAAAAAACAAAGGAGATATAGCCATTTAAAGTTTGAGCCAATCAGATTGCAGCACGCGCGCATGCGCATGCTTTCATAAAGTTCTTATATATCATGCTGTAGATCTTCATAATGTAGGACTATGTTCAAAATTTCAAAAGATTATGACAAGAAACAAGACAGATATTGAGACTTTAGTTTCAGCCAATCAGAGCGAAGCGCACGTGCATGCGCGTGCGATCTTGCTATTTTGACCATGTCATCTTGTCTACACTACTAATGTATCCTTACATTATGAGTTTCAAAAAAAATCATGAAGAAAAAGAAAAGTTACAGCAATATCCATTATATTGGTCATTTCACGTGTTGCACGTGCGCGCTCTTGCAAGCACGTGCGCGCAAAATGACCTTCGTTCGGCAAATCTACATAACATGTCTATTGACCCTATAAACATTTTACCTTAATCGGATGTGTAGTTTACAAGATCACTCGTGGACAAAATTTTCCCAGGAAGAAGAATAATAATAATAATAATAATAATAATAATAAGAAACAGAGTAAAAACAATATGTTCCCCAACTTCGTTTGGGGAACATAACAAGGTCTGGGCACAAGAATTTAATTCAATTAAGCAATCTGTCTAAAGATAAAAATCAAAAGGAATTTATGACTTTGACACTTCAACATTTCAAGCACAATCACACAGGCAGACCAGTATGTCTGCAAATAGCAGCTCAAAAATCCAAATCTATTTGTCCAGTACATTCAATGGCAAAGTATATGAAAGTAAGAGGGACAAAACAAGGGCCTTTATTCTCTTTTGATGGATCTGCTCCAGTAACACAGTCATTTTATACATCAGCATTGAAAAACAGTTTGGCTTTTATTGGGCTTAGCTCAAAGCACTATAAATCGCATAGCTTTCGGATAGGTGCAGCATCACATGCTTTTCAGTGTAAAATACCTGAGGATAAAATCCGTCTAATGGGGCGTTGGAATTTAAATGCAGTAAAACGTTACTTTCGAATCCCAGTATTTGATTGTATTGATGTTTCCCAATCAGGTCAGACTGTCTGAGGCAGCTGTATTTTAGGGGGGTTCAAGCTCAGTACCCATAGTGTTGTTGGATTTTTAACATTGCTTTATTATAATGTAACGGTAGAATTGTAATAGGATTGTTGAACCTGTGAGTGAAGTAGAAGGCATAATGTGACATTTATAAAAATATGTAACTCTTCTGAAGTTCTGAATAACTGCGATGACTGTCTGAGGCGGCATTGCTGGGAATTAGTGACTGGTAGTTAAAATGACTGTCTGAGGCAGCATTTTGGTACATGTACATGTAAAACTTTTTCTTATTAATACAATGACTGTCTGAGGCAGCGTTGTTGTGGACATTGAATTTTATCTGTAACTTAAATGACTGTCTGAGGCAGCATTACTTTTGTGAAGTTCTGAATAACTGCGATGACTGTCTGAGGCGGCATTGCTGGGAATTAGTGACTGGTAGTTAAAATGACTGTCTGAGGCAGCATTTGGGTACATGTACATATTAAACTTTTTCTTATCAATACAATGACTGTCTGAGGCAGCGTTGTTGTAGACATTGAATTTGATGGTGCATGTATTTTTGTTTGTAATTAATATTTGGGGACAT